CCCCCCTTTTTTTTTTTATTTGCTTGTATTTAGAAACCTGCCAAAAGCAATAGTTACGTTTTACCACGGATTAAGGACTTTGTTTTGTTTTAAGCAAACGGCAATCAGAGGACTAAGCCACCTATAGTACATCAAAGAATGAATTTTCATTCTTTCTCCGCACCATCCTGCCCAGTAGGTTCCTGACAAAGCTGCCAGTGAAGATGCAGTTGAACATAGCTCCAGCTCTGGGAGGGGCTCGTCAGGGTGATTAAGATGCTCTTTACGAATAATTCCCATTTTAAAGATTCTTCTCCCTCAACAGCATATAAATTCAGAGTGAAAGGAAGGTGTTGGAAAGCATACTGAAAACAGAATAGACTGCATACCTGTCCATTCAATGACTTGCCTTTCTTTCCTGTTGGCATTTTTTGTTTTCCTGAGATGTTGCCAGTGGGGTAAATTAAGTGTCTAAGGGCAGGAGGAAATGCCTAGATACGAAGGGTATATAAGGCTGCCAAGGATGATGAGAGAAAGAAGATAATGCCCAAAACATTGTGTTGCAAATTTAATAAATACATTGGAAACTGTGTTATCATGTGAAGTTGTATCCAACTGCACACACTTTGCATACATTTCTGGACTAAAGCAGTGTACAAGCCATGCTCCTTTCTCTCACCAGAACACAGAATTTAGATAGCTTTCGTGGAAGTTTTGTTTTTAGTGGCTGTGTCAACATGAGCAGGTAGTATGGTATGGTAGTTTGTGCTGAGTCCCTGTTCAGTTTCATGGAGAGGTGTTACTTTGATCTAACTCTGATTTGGTCCTGCTTTTTAGCAGTTGGAGAATATGAAGTGTGCTCCAAGCCTGCTCTGGAGCATGAAGCACAGTGTTGTGCATGGAGGTGATCAGCAGATTTGCCTCAAAAGCACACTCGCAGTCTGAAGAAACCTTGAAGAGAAGGGATAAGGCTTGGCTCAGTCAAAGGAATGTCACTATGAGCATCTTAATTCCTAGCTCTTGTAGTTAGCTGAGGCTGGGCCTTACGAAGAATAATTTTTTTGTAGTGGCAACTGCGTTGTGCTGGCATGGAAATACAGATTTGGGGCAGGAGAGCGATATTTTAGATAATCTGGATGAATTTTGCCAATACCTTCTAAAATCAAGTGAGCAGCTCTGAATTATAACTTGCTCATTGAGAAAACCCGTTGTGAACAATAACGTGCTGGAATACGGTTATGGCAAGGTAAGCTGTTTGGGTTTTCTTGGTGAGATTTTTTTTTTTTGGTGAGAAATGGCAGTTGCATAGGCAGTCTTGATAAGCTAGAAGAGTAACTGAAAGATTAGGTACTTACACCTAAAAATCTACTTATAGGGGAAGGCATCATAGTACATTGCATTAAAAATTAAAAATTTTGAAGCAAAAATGGTGGAAATCAGAGTTGTCAGATTCTAGAACTTGCTGACTTCTGCAGACATGCACTATCTTGTCATCAAACAAGGATGTTCTTAGATTAACTTGATTTAAAATTGTGTCCTAAATCGTTGCTGCATCGTTTTCTGAGGCTGGACAGAAGTTTGTCTGCTTCTTGAGTGAAGTGGACAGTTTCTGTTTTGGTTATTTGCAACTGCTTTATTTCAAGCAGTACATGTTTGATTAGTAAGGTATTTTTTTCCTGAAATAAATCTGAGTAAGTTTCACAGGAAGAACTTTTTGCTAGCCTTTTTTCTTCTTTTCCCAGGTTACGAAAGAAGCCCATCCAGCACTTCATGATTTGAATGTCCATGGGTTACGAATCCAGACCTTTTAGCTCAGTCTCTTCCTTATTGAATATGTTTTCACTTGCCAGGTTTTTCTTTTCAGTATCTATCACATCATGTCTAATATTCAGGACAAAGTAGAGAGATTTTTTGACCCTGCAAAGGCTGTGTGTTTCTTTCCTCATTCTCGAAGCCACTACAGTGCATGGGAAGACATCCTGGCTCTCAAAGTTTTCTTTAATTTTGAGCGAAGCCTAACTGGCTAGTGATTTTTTTTTTTTTTCTCCCAACAAATTTGCTTCACTATGGTGTACTTTAAATAGTGAAATTTTAGAAAACCATTTTGTATAATGGCATGCTTATTTTCTGTTCCTTTGGGGTTTTCTTTTGAAACATGCTCAAGCTTATAAGGGCAATTTATGAACTGTCCTTCCTGTAGAAGCACCATAGATCTTTTTCTTGTCATGTGTCATTGCAAATACTAAAGGTTTAAGTCAGATTGTGTCTTACGTATTGCTTTTGATTAATGCTTTCTGACACTTAGCCAACATGGGGTTTGGGAATTATAAGTGACAGGAATTTAATAAAAAAATTGCTAGTGATTCTTAAGAAGATAATTCATCACACACTTGTTCTCACACTGGAAGTATTTTATACCAGAAACAAAATAAACAAATATAAGGGGGTTTGTGCTGATTTTTTTTTTTTTTAATTCAAGTAGGAAGTTACTATTCAAAATACATTAGGAACACATCTGTTCAGATAAAAGATGCCACATTTGTTTTCCTACTTTGGAATAGGAACTTTCCAGCTGCAGTAGTTCTTGTTTCCTTATCCAAGCACACAATAAAATTTTTAATACATGATTGAGAAATAGTAATCTTTTTTACCCCAAACTGAAAAAGCATAAATCCGACTATGAAAAACTGGGGGGGAGAATTAAAAAGTAGCCTATTCTTAAAAACTTTAAAGGTTATCTTAAAATATACCTTCATGGTTAAAATTTGAAGTATGAGGACTTTTAAGGGCCAAGAACAAATAGCAAAACCAGAAATACTGTCTTTCCACTGATATGTATCTATTCCTATGATGATTATGAGAGAACTGACCTTAAATAAGGTATTGTTTCATGGCTAAATAGTATCCATATGTTTGTTAGACCAAATACCTCTATGATTTTCTGGTTTTTGTTGTTGTTTTTTCGAGAGATGTTATCTAGGCACTGATCAGAGAACTGGTGGTTGAAAGTGGTGAACACATATTTGTAGGCAGAATGCAAAATGGAGTGAAAGCAGCAGCGCGCTCGGTGTAGCCTGTCCCAGCATATAGCGGGGCTGTGGCAATATCCCCATGAGAAACTTCCATTAAACAAAATTACTCTTTCTTGATTCCAGAATAAGAGAACTGGTGCTGAACTGGTAAGTTTAAGGGCTGTATCTCATAGCCTTATGTAGTTACCAGGAATGGTAATTAGTTATGTGGAACCGGAGCTTTATCTCAAAAGAGGAATTTTTCATTGGTCGGTACAATTCTTCTGCCCACTGCGCATCACAGGTGTTTACATCTGAATTTGTACAAAATGTTTCTAGAAGTGTTAGCTTTAAACTTTATTTCTCACTGAGCCAGCTGGCTTCATAGCAACTTTAAACTACTCAACTTCAGTGTCAGAATTCCCATTTAAAACAAGACAAAAAGCTCCTGTAAGTTGATATATCAATGTGTTTGGTTGGTTACAACATAAAAACTTAATTTGAAGTTATTTGTCTTACACTGTCATTGGAAGTTGTGGTATACAGCATTACTCCATGGGTCATGCTAAGTTCCCCCCAAGTAAGCATAAAGAAAAATGGAAAGATGCTACGTCACTCCTGTTTTCTAGCTGATAAAGTGTCACTGTATGAATTTATACTTTTGTAGGTATCTTTGCTTTTTGAAGAGATAAAAATACTGTGCAAAGTATTAACTAAACAGTTCGTACACCATCAGTGTCTTTGTTAGCGGCTCCTGCAGCTCATGGATTAAAGCATCTTTTAAGCGGTCACCAGTTTCGGTGCTATTCTATATGTCAGTGCCAGTAATGCAAATACCATAGTGTAGGAAAATATGAGAATTCTCGTGCCAAATGTGCTAAATTTTTTTTCCTTTGAAATTGCACAAACGGTTCACCTATGTTGTATAATTTATGTTGGTTGCACTTACTGTAGTAATTAACATTTTCAATAAAACTTTTTCCTGATACGATGGTTTGTGTTCATTTGTAATGAAATGTCGTTTGCCCCATCAAGTTCTTCAGAAATAAAGCATGACTCCCAGGCCAGCAGTTAATATTACATGCCTGTTCTGCTCCACGGAATGAAAGCTACCAGATGTTTAATA